AATCAAGTATTTTCAGAATGATATCTGATCTCTTGACAAATGGATTGTTATCAAGGGTCTAGCTTATAAGCAAAGCTCTCACGCAATGCAGAGCCAAAGGGCCAGGCCTAAAAAGATGGAGGCTGAACAGAAGTTTAGACAACAACAGCATGGACAATGGGAAGCTCAAGCTTGCTAACATGCCTACAGGGTTTGCAGCCCCAGATACGCTGCAAGAAAGGCATTGGTGCAGAGTTCAGGACCATTTGCAACTGCTCTCAGAACACGTGAAGGCTTAGTGTGCTCTGATGAACAAGTCTCCTAACACCTATTCCCCTTGGAATAAAAAGGAACTGAACAGCAATTTTGATCCCTCCTAAGCTTCAGGGAAAAATATAGATTGTTTCTAAGATTACATGATACATTTAGCCTGGGTAGGATAGATAACGCGGTGCTAACCTTCCCAAGGAAGAAGACATTTTAGCTTTTTTTCATTTTTTTTTAAAGAAGAGAGCAAGTAATTATCAGTAATTCTACATCTAACTCTTCAAGCAGCCATTCTCAACAGTTAATCACTCCAGACTATGCAAAAATATCCCCAGGAACATCACAAAATAATCTTTAAAGTGTTTAATTTTAGCTTCCAGTTAAATTTTAAAATGAGCTAATTACATTAACTCTTATGTGATCCCTTTTGATATGGGCAAAACATAAAAATGGAAGCAGCCAAAGGTCTGGAAAGTTCAGGGTGCCTCCAATTTAACTGCCCAGCAGCCCAGCACTCTGGAACAATTATATTCCTCCCATGAGATATTGACTCTTCCTCCATGTATGTAGCTCTCCCACACTTTGTTATCAAAGAGACCAGGGCCACTAATGGGAAAGGGAAAGGAATTCTCCCCAACATCAACATCCCATCAGCAGAAATAGCTCTGATTTAACACAATTCTCCATGGTCCTATTGTCCTTCCCCCCCTCCCCAAATGATGGAAAAATCTAATTCCAAAGAAATGTTAATGGCTTCATTATGTGACCACTTTCAAGTATTTTCAGAATAACATCTGATCTCTTGACAAATCTATTGTTATCAAGGGTCTAGCTATATAAGCAAAGCTCTCACGCAATGCAGAGCCAAAGGGCCAGGCCTGAAAAGATTGTGTTTGGAACATACTAGGTGTGACTCAGGGTTTGGGATAGTCAAGCTTAGCCTTGGAGCATGCAATTCACTATGGAGTGACCAACAGTCAAGTTTAAGAAGGGAAAAAGAAAACAGGTGGAACCATGGTGGGGGCAAAATATAGGACAAGCTTTCAGAAAAATCAGGCAAAGCCTGAAGGGGGTGTTAGAAGAATCTAGATTGCTGTCAATATGATAGAGGAGTTGAGGAAGGAAACACTTGATACTGGGAAAGAATAAATATCTTCCGTTGGCTGGATGTTCACTGCGCATCACACTAGCAGCTTCTGTACTAGAGTATAAATAGAGGATCTCTGGGGGCAGGGTGCCTGGGTAGGTGATAAGAAGGTTTGGCAGAACAGGCAGCTACATAGGCTGGGCCATCAGACAAGAGAAGTCACTTCCTACTTGGGTGCCAAGAAGGTTGCCACCTAATATATGCAAGTTGATTTCTAACCTATGAAAAAAGTTCTTTATTCCATGTGAGGCCCACATCAGTTCTTTCTCCAGCAGTCTGACACAATGCCCCGACATCACCTTTGATAGGGACTGGGAGTGATGGGCCACCACTCCATAGTTAAACTGACCTGGCCCACTCTCCACCCAACTCTGCTGTGGGAATGCCTTATTTTGGAAAAATAAGAATCCTCAAATGTCCCCCAAACTGGTATTTGGCCAAACTGGAAGATCCTTTTATATTTTTATACCCCCAAAAATCATGATCTTTACATAACCACAATAGTCACCCTCTAAATCTTAGCAAGCATCATTTTAAAAAAAATCACAGATGTGGGGTTCATGCCAGGCATGAAAGTTGGTTCAACTTGTGAAAATCAATAAATGTTATTTATCACATCAATAGACTTAAAGAATCACATGACCATCTCAATAGACGCAGAAAAAGCATTTGCCAAAATACAGCACCGCTTCATGTTCAAAACATTAGAAAAACTAGGGATAATAGGAACTTCTCTCAACATTGTGAAAGCTATCTATGCTAAGCCCAAAGCCAACATCATTATGAATGGAGAAAATTTTTAAAAGCATTCCCTCTAAAAACAGGAACAAGACAGGGATGCCCTCTTTCACCACTTTTATTTAACATAGTCCTTAAAACTCTAGCCAGAGCAATTAGACAGATGAAAGTAATTAAAAGGGATAAGAATAGGAAAAAAGAAAAACTATCACTATTTGCCAATGACATAATTCTATACTTAGAGGATCCAAAAAATTCCACCAATAAGCTTCTAGAACTAATAAATGAATTCAGCAAAGTAAAAGGATATAAAATCAACACCCATAAATCAAATGCATTTCTGTACATCAGTGACAAATCCTCTGAAAGACAAATTAGGAAAACTATCCCATTTACAATAGCCTCAAAAAAATAAAATACTTGGGCATCAACTTAATGAAAGAGGTGAAAGACCTCTACAATGAAAACTACAGACACTAAAGAAAGAAATTAAAGAAGACCTTAGAAGATGGAAAGATCTCCCTTGTTCTTGGATAGGCAGAATTAATATTGTCAAAATGACCATACTACCAAAAGCACTATACAGATTTAACGCAATTCCAATCAAAACCCCAATGATATCCCTCATAGGAACAGAAAAAGCAATCATGAAATACATCTGGAAAAATAAGAGACCCAGAATAGCCAAAACAATCCTTAGCAAGAAGAGTAAAGCAGGTGGCATCACAATACCAGACCTTAAACTATGCTACAGAACAATAGTAACAAAAACGGCATGGTATTGGCATCAAAATAGATATGTAGACCAATGGTACAGAAAAGAGGACACAGAGACAAACCCACATAAATGCATTATCTCATACTAGACAAAGGCACCAAAATCATACATTGGAGAAAAGATAGCCTCTTCAACAAATAGTGCTGGGAGAACTGAAATTCCACATTCAGCAAAATGAAACTAAACCCCTCTCTCTCACCATGCACAAAACTCAACTCAAAGTGGATCAAGGATCTAGGAATTAGTCCAGAGACTCTGTGCCTAACAGAAGAAAAAGTAGGCCCAAATCTTCATCATGTCAGATTAGGCCCCAACTTCCTTAACAAGACTTCTAAAGCATAAGAAATAAAATCACGAATCAATAAATGGGATGGATTCAAACTAAAAAGTTTCTTGCTCAGCAAAGCAAACAATCAATGAGATGAACAGAGAGCCTACATTTTGGGAGAAAATTTTTGCCACATGCACAGACAGAGCACTAATCTCCAGGATATATAAAGAACTCAAAAAAACTTAACACCAAAATAACAAACAACCTAATCAATAAATGGGCTAAGGAGCTAAACAGACACTTCTCAGAAGAGATAACAGTTGATCAACACATATGAAAAAATGTTCAACATCTCTAGTAATTAGAGAAATGCAAATCAAAACTATTCTTAAGATTTTATCTCACTCTAGTCAGAATGACAGTTATCAAGAATATAAGCAATATTCTTGTATAATAAGCAATAAGTGTTGGCAAGGTTGTAGAGGGAAAAGGTACACTCATACATTACTGGTGGGACTGCAAATTGATGCAGCCAATCTGGAAAGCAGTATGGAGATTCCTTAGAAAACGTGGAATAGAATCACCATTTGGCCCAGCTATCCCAATCCTTGGTCTATACCCAAAGAACTTAAAAGCAGCATACTAGAGAAATGCAGCTACATCAATGTTTATCGCATCTCAATCCACAATAGCTAAACTGTGGAACCAACCTAGATGCCCTTCAATAGATGAATGGATAAAGAAATGTGGTATATATACACAATGGAATATTACTCAGCCTTAAAAGTGAATAAAAGTATGGCATTTTCAAGTAAATGGATGGAGTTGGAGAATATCTTGCTAAGTGAAGTAAGCCAATCCCAAAAACCAAAGGTCAAATGTTTTCTCTGATAAGTAGACGCTGATCCATAATTGGGGGTGGGGGTAACATAGGAGGAATGGGGAACTTTGGAAAGGGCAGAGGGAACGGGAGGGAGGGGGAATGGGGGTAGGAAAGATGGTGGAATGAGATGGACATCATTACCCTAGGTACATGTATGAAGACACGAATGGAATGACTCTATTTTGTGTGTACAACCAAAGAAATGAAAAATTGTGCTCCATGTGTATGCTATGAATTAAAATGCATTCTGCTGTCATGTATAAAAAATTAGAATAAATAAATTTTTTAAATAAAAAAAATCACAGAAGTGTTAGATATGATTGTTGTTTAGTTTTCATTTTCTTAAGGAGTTGTTCTTCCCCACAAAGACAACTCCTTGGGGCTGGGGTTGTGGCTCAGTGGTACAGCGCTCGACTAGCATGTATGAGGCACTGGGTTTGATTCTCAGCATCACATATAAATAAATAAAGGTCCATCAACAACTACTAAAATATTTAAAAAAAAAAAAAGACAACTCCTTAGAACCCTAGACTGTCAATAACAGTCATAATGACTTATGTTTATTGAGCACTTTTAAGCACAACATCAAGGTATTTACACATTTACATTTTTATATATTTAAATCATACGGGGCCAGTCCTATCATATAAATGCTGCCATTCTCTCCTTTTTGCAGAAGGGGAAACTGAGGCACAGTGTGCCAATCCTCCTCCCATCTCGTTTCCACACTTTGTGAAGAGCTCCTTATCAAACAGCAAAACCTTAGGAATCCAAAGTTCACACGCTGTGTTTCCTGACATGGGAAGGAAACAGAAGAGGATGGGGGCTTTGGTCCGGATTTTGGAACAGGACCCTTAACTCTTTGATTACAAAATTCATACGAGATAGGGCTATCCTGCTATTTCACTACATGGCACAGGGTTCAGCCAATTCTTACCCTGTTGTCTTCCTGGATCTCCCAGTCACTGGAGAAAGCCACCAGCTGCTGCCCTTGGGAACAGTTAGAGAACTGGAAAAGGCTGGAAAACATCCTCCTGTTTTCCTGTGTATCTGGAAAGATGGCATCTTGGAAATTGACTCCATGAGGCAAGAGGTTATAATTTTCATCCATCCTAATAGAGAAGAGGAAAAAGGTCAGAGATATACACATGACCACTGGGGACATATCAACTTTAATCAAGAGTCATCAAGAGTGTAAGGGTTGTTATGGTTTGGATGTGAGGTGTTCCCCAAAAGCTCATGTGTGAGACAATGTGAGAAGTTCAGAGGAGAAATGATTGGGTTGTAAGAGTCTTAACCCAATCAATGAATTAATCCCCTTACAGGGATTAACTGAGTGGTAACTGAAGTGGTGGGTGTGGCTGGGGGAGGTGGGAATTGGGGCGTAGCTTTGGGGTAATATATTTTGTTTTTCTAGAGAATGAAGTCTCTCTGCTTTCTAATCACCATGATGTGAGATGCTTTCCTCCACCACTCTCTCCCACTGAGAACCAAGCTCTAAAAACTATTCAACAACTCTGATGTTCTCTCCTCAAGCCCTGAAGAATGAAGCTGGCCTTCTATAGACTAAAAGCTCTGAAACCATGAGCCCTCAAACTTTTCCTCCTCTGCAATTGTTCTGGTCAGATCTTTTAGTCACAGCAGCAAAATAGCTAACCAAAACAAGGGTCTTGCCAATTTTATTGTGATGTCTGGCATGGTTCTCCTGAAGCAGTTACAACTTCTAATTGTTTTCTCTGCCTCTCACTACTTGGGTTTATTCTTAAGGTTTTCAAAAGAATGAGTTTGGCCAAAGGAAGCAGGAAAGTGTGTGCATATGTCTGTCTGTCTCTTTGTGTATGCCAGGGGCCTTCCTCCTCCTGGATCTCCTTTCCTGGTGAGAGATAGGCCAGTCATAATGACATGGGCTCAAGACCCGACACGTTTCAATTTCTCTAAGCTTCAGTATTCCCATCTGTTCAAAGAGGATTATAATAGTGCCTACTTTCCTGGTGGTGTGGCAAGGATTGCATTAGAAAATACAATAAAGCACTTGGAGCAGAATGAAGGTAATATAAATAAATATATTTATTATACATGTAAGTATATTTATCAGTGAGTCATTTTACAGAGCCTAGTAGAAAGCACTTGCTGGAAAGATTAAGTCGTGAAAAAGAAAAAGGAGATGAATTACAATCTGAGCAAAAGCAGGCAGGATGGCCTCCCCAGTGAGTCTCCTCTGCCACTCCCCCTACTAGAGTCTGTTCCCATCTAGTGGATCCTAGAATAACAAAAGAGGAAAGATTTGTATGCAGTTGTCGACACACTTCAGGGCAAGACAGCCCTGTAAAATGAGAATCTGTCAGACTACTGTTTTGTATGTCTGCCCTAACTTTTTGTAAATATGTAAGAGCAAAAGATGAAAGAGTTGGCTGACCACCGGAGCCAGTGGACAAAACTGCATTTCATGATTTAAAAAACGGGAAACAATAAGATCTGCTCAAGTACTTGAGCTCACCCCCACTCTTGGAAAATAAAGAGTTGAGTAGTTTTTAGAGCTGGTTCTCAGTATTTTTCCTAAATAAAAACATGAAAAACCTAAGTTTCTCTGTATCAGAAAGGGCATTCTCTCAGCCCTGATAGACTTTATTTAGAAACTAGACTTTCCTGGCAATTATTTAAAAAAAAAAAAAAAAACTAATCTAGCTAAACCACTCAAGCCAACTTTACAAAGCAGGACATGTGTTCTAAACTTAGATATTCTGGCTTCAATATGGAAAACACGTGTTGCCATCAGCTTATGAACATCCCTCTGTGGAACTGTTTTCCTTCTGAGAAAGGATGCGAGCTAAAAAAATGGATCTGCAAACCCAGGCAGAGTCATGCCACCTCAGACGGGGAAGCTGGAACTGTCATTGATCAGAGACAACTTTGCCTTAATTCACTTCACTATCTTGAAGTACAGGGTAGATTTCATTTGGATGTTTCTCTCAGATGTTCTATATCACTCTTAATTCAAAGGCAGTTAACCAATGGATTTAGGGTTCCATCTGCTGTTCTGCATTTCAAATCTCGGTAGAATTTATAGTCAATAAGACTTGACTGAACTCTTGGGTAGAGCATTCCATCCTGACCACAGGCCAATTTCATGGACTGTCACAGACCACAGGGGATGGAGAATCACTGGAAACTATCTGCAGCCTCTTTTCAAAACATTGTGACCCAGGGTCTGAACCCCAGCAGGCCCTCCCATCAAACCTTTGCTGTTTTAGATAACCAGGTGGAGATGGGAGACAGTGGAACATGAAGACCCCGAGCTGCATTCCTGCACTGAAGTCCGTGGAAGGGGTTGGAGGAAAGAGAATGAATATTGGCTAAGCAACTTCTCTGTCACTGGTGCTTTGCAGGCATTGCTGTGTTTTAGTATCAACCAGCCTTGCTTCTCACTTTATGCAAGTGAAGTTGTGGAAGTTCTTGGGAAATAACTGGCTCAAATATCAGTCAGGCAGAAGGGCAGAGCCCGGATCCCAATGACGGAGTGGAAAGACTGTTTTTCTGCCCATCCCAATCTACTCCTACTCTACTTGAAGCCAGTTTAAAAGAAGATGAGTCAAATGGGTTGTTGGAGAGCACTTTTGACCCTGTGCGTGAAACACCGCTCTGTGTACCTTAACACCGAAATCATCTGCGTTTTTAAAAGGGCCTTCGGCAGGGGGATGCCAGGATCTTTGCAGAGAAGTCTGACGGAGCAGGAGAGAATAAAGAAGCCTAAGCCGAGGGCCCTAAGGCATATTCTAGTTTGGCACTGACAGGACCCCTGGGGTTCCCCCACCTGGCTGCAGGAAACCCTAACTACAGGCAGAGGAGGCGGTGGCGACGGCGGTGCCGGGCTCACCTGAGGAAGAAGAAATAGGAGTAGTCCTGGACCACGGTGTGGGAGTGGCAGGAGAAGTAGCCCAGGCCGGTGAGGTTGAGCCTGGAGCCGGCGGGCACCTCCAGCATGCTGCCCCACGCCTGGTCGCACAGCATCTCGACCTCGGCCGAGTAGAAGAGCCCCCCCTGGCCGGCGTGGTACTGCCAGGGCAGGTAGTTGTAGAGGCCGGGCTCCTCGGGGTGCAGCGCCAGCACCTTGGCGTACACGATGGTCTCGGCCAGCTCCGCGCGGCAGCCCTCGCTCAGGGGCCTCCAGTCGGAGGGCAGCTGGCAGGCGCGGGCGGGCGCGGGGCGGCCGGCCAGGCAGAGCGCGGCGAGCAGCAGCGGGCGCAGCATGCCGGCGGGCGGGAGGGCGCGCTAGCCGGGGCTCATGGCCCGACCCTCCGGGCGGGCGCAGGGGGCAGCGGGGCGGCCTGGCTCTTGGCTGCTCGGGGGAAGCTCGGGCGCCGCTCTCCCTGCAGCCGGGCTCGCGGTGTCCCGCCAGCACCCGCCAGGCTTTAAAAGGGTCGCGGGGCCGGGCGGGACGGGCGCCCGCCTCCTGCCCTGCCCCCTGCGGCGGAGGCGGGGGAGGGGGCGGCGGCCGCGCGGAAGGGGCGCGCGGGGCGGGCGAGACCCGGGAACTCCGGTGACCCTGGGACGGAGTCTGAACCCCCGCAGCCCTTCCCTAGCGCCCCGCTTGGGCTGGGTCAGGGCTTGCCAGGTGTAACGAGTTCCAAACGCGGCACCTTAGAACAATTGCTATTTACTTGCAGGATTACTCTGCATTAAAACTTTGTTATAGAGTTCATTTAGAGTCAAAATTCATAGAAATCGAATTTGATTTTATCATCCCAGAGTTTTTAGTGTGAGCTAACAAACTTTTTAAAAGATTCATTTTCATTCTGCTTCTGAATCTTTTTTGGGGGAGCGGGGGGCAGTTACTGGGGATTGAACTCAGGAGCACTTAATGGCTGAGCCATATGCCCAACCGTATTTTGTATTTTATTTAGAGACAGGGTCTCACTGAGTTGCTTAGTGCCTTGCTTTGGTTGAGGCTGGCTTTGAACTCCTGATCCTCCTGCCTCAACCTCATGGTTGCTAGGATTACAGGTGTGGACTACTACCGCACCTGGCTTGAATCTGATTATTTTTTAACGGTGATCTTCAGAAAGTCCTGATAAGAGATTCTGAATACCCTACACCTGAGAAATAAATTCTGGAGTAAATTCGAAACAGCTGATTGTGAGTCAATGGGTGATTTGGTGCAGACCCAAACTCAACAATATACTCCCTAAGCTGACTTTGTTATACCTAATGTAGAAAGAAGAAACAATAGTTCTTACTTATAAAAAATGAATATTATATTTTATATTCTGTATCATGCATATCACACACATACACATTATACATCCATCATACCTATTGTATTTTTACATGAGCTTCATAAGCAAATTTGTTTTCAAGTGGAGGACTCTGTTCTGCAAGCAACTTATTAATTTGGATCGCTGAGTATTTCAGCTTTAAACCCCAGTACCATTTCTTCTGTGACTTGGAGGAAAGAGAGTTCCTGGGAAAATCTGGAAGAAAGAGAGAGCATATACAGAAATTGGAGTGAAAATTCAAAGGCTGGCCTCACCTCCCCAGGGCCCCAGTCTTCTTCCCTGGAGTCCTATACTGGCAGTCAGGATGATTCCATTGAATGGTTGAATGGTGAATGGTTGCTGTGGACACAGGTTTTGAAAAGCAAGTCTTGGGGTAAAAAAGCTCTGGAGTAGGAGGGGCTGGAGGGTCTCAGGAAGAAAGGGGAACAGAAGAAACCAGAGGGAAAACTTAGGGTGCCCTCAGACAATGAAGAATCAAGACTCTAGGCACTCCTATCAAGCTCTTCGGGGACTCAAGGGGCACACTACTCACTGGTCAGTGACCAATCAACTAAATTTTTAGTCTCACCCATGCTGTGATGGACCCAAAAGCAGGAGGAAGTAAGAGTAAGCTCTTCAAAGACAGGGAATCCCTGAAAGTTTTGTAGGAAAAACTTAGTCAAAGGGAACCCAAGGGACAGCGTTACCAAGGGTGTGTGACTCTCCTGCGGTCACCTTCCATGGTAGAATTTCACAGCAGGCAAATGGTATTCAAGGTTAAAACACCAGAGACTATTTTTCTGGAGTGCTAATCTGTCTCTTACTGAATATTTAAATTATAAAATTTCATAATGTTATTATATCAGTCACCTAGGGCTACCATAACTAAATACTGCACACTGGTAGATAAAACAACAGATGTTTATTTCTTCCTGTTCTGGAGGATAAAGTTCAAGATCGAGAAGCCAGCTAGGTGTCCATGAGGCCTCTCTTTCTGGTGTGTAAATGGCCATCTTTTTGCCCATCCTCACAGCAAGAAGTAGCCTTTCTTCTGTGTACTATGCAGAGACAGATCTCTGGTGCCTCTTCTTCTTCTGATAAGGTCACCAGTCCAGTGGATTAGGGTCCCACCTTTATGAATTCATTTAACTTCAGTTGTCTCCATAAAGTCTTATTTCCAAATATATTCAGTTGGAGTGAGGTTTAGAACTTTAACATATGAATGAGGAAGTGGGGGGAGGGCACAATTCAGCCCATAACAGTTGTCTAACAGGTGTTCTGCAGGTTTGCTACAGAAAGAAACGGGATGTAAAATGATTTGTTTTGCTGGAGAGCAGACTTAGTAAGCATTGCCAACTCCTGATATTACCAATTGCTTATGTTTATTCATCGCTTGCTTTAGGCCAAGTACAGTTGCAAGGACTTTACATATGTTATCTTAATTAATCCTCCAAACAATTCCAAAGGAAATACTACTATATGTTAATTTTGCAGATAAGGAAACTTAGGCACAGAGAGGTTAAATGACTTACCCAAAGCTAGAAAGTGAGCCAGGATTCAAACCCCAGCCATCAGACTCTGGAGTCTAAGAACTTAACTCCAACATGAGAATAGGGACAAAGATAGGAAATGCCTTAGAGGAACAAGTTGGCCCTTTGTTTAGGATGCTTATAGAATATATGATTAGTAAGAAGCTTGGCATATTCCCTAGTGGAAGCTGTAAAAGTGAGTGACTGACCTAATATTAATGTTATACTATTCAGGAGCCCTGCTCTATTTCAGCCCTACATTATCATAGAGAGAGACAGGACAGTTTTTAAGAAAAAAACAAAACAAAAAAAAACTCTTTTTAATTTCATCTTCAAGTGCCTCAGAGGTCTGGAAAAGATTTGTCTACTTCTACAGACCTTAAAACCTTGACTTCTCTTTCCATTTAGTCAAGCAAATAAATAAAAAGCAGTGCATGTGCTGTGTTCTGTCTTCTTCTTTTTTTTTTTTTTTTTTTTTTGGTTTTAATTAGTTACACATGACAATACAATGATCTTGACATATCATACATTTGAATCAAATGGGGTATAATTACTCCTTTTTCTGAGTGTACAGGTTGCTGAATCACATTGGTCATACAGTCACGTATATATATACAGCAAAAGTAGTGTCTATTTTATTCTGCTGCCCTTCCTATCCCCCCTTCCCCTCCCCTCCCCTCACTTCCCTCTACCCAATCTAATGTGACACACTTCTTTTTTTTTTTTTCCCTCACATCATCATACATGTTCCCTCTTCTTGGATAAACTTAACAGAACCAAAATTCTTCCAGTACTGTCCAGAATGTATTTTCCAGAAGCCCTTTCCAGAGATTGTCCTTCTTGTGGATTCTGAGGAGACATCAGTCATATCTTCCTTCTCTGTAAGAGCAAGCAGAAGACCTCGCTGACTGGAAGGGAGCCATTGGTGTGTCCCCTAGTGAGCAATTCCTCTTCCAAGACTAAGACCTTCCAATAAGCAGAGCTCAAGGTCACCAGAATGGAAAATGAAAATTCCATGAATGAATTATTGGATTTAATCATGAATCAAGCCACTTGCGCCCCTTGATTCCAAGACTCATCTATTCTGGTTATGAGATGCATAATATCATATGTTGTTTTCTGTTTCAAAGAATAGACAGTATCCTTTAAGACAGCACCTCATGATTTCAGGATGTTGCCTGCCAAGTGACACTATAACAGAGTCTTTCCTAAGCCTTACTTACACCTTTTAAAAATTTATCAATTGCTTCCATGTGATGTAGCATGTGGTGTAGGACCAATCACTTCTGGCCGTGAGCCCTCTGTACTTCATGGCTTTGAAAGAAGATCCTTTGGGAATCACTAATCAGAAGTAATACCATGGGGAATTCCATGATGGTGGATAATGTGGTTGGTGAATCCACAGATGACACTACTACAGGAAGCATTATGGGCAGAGAAGCAAACCCATACGCAGAAAACAGTCTATTCCAGTCAGCAAGATAATAGTGGTTTGATATAATCAACCTGCCACTAGGTGGCTTGCAGTTTTCCTAGGTGAATGGGACCATATCTATACTGATTTCTTGTTGACACTTGGTAGGCCCTCAGCAGTACTGTTAGCCAGGCCAACCTAGGTAAAGGGAAGCCCATGTGGCTGCCAATGAACAGCCTGCCTCCCTCCCACCATGGCCATTGTGCTCATGGGTTCACTGAACAAACACTAGGGACTGAGTGGCACCCCAGAGTGTGTGGTTCTCCCACCCAGTTACTAAGAACCTCCTCTCCACTGAATGCTCTTTGATCATCATTCACATGAGATACAAATGTCTTCACAATCTGTGACCATTCTGAGAGGTCCATTGATATCTCTCTTGCCCACATGTCCTTGTCACCAATTTTCTCCTGGCCCATACACTCCTTGATTCCAAGACTCTTATTCTGGCTGTGAGATGGATAACTAAATGTATACCTTGGAGTTCTACCCAGGAAGAATTTTCCTTCTCCAATATTCTTTAGGATCATCCCTGAGTGGGACCTAGTAGAAGACTATATAATACAGAATGAGCAGTAAAATAGCCTTGAGCTATTTATTTCTTAGCCAATTGGTCTTCTATGATTTGGATTCAGTTTGTACCCCAAGGATACATGTACTGGTCCCCAATGGTCCCCTAGTATTAAGAGGTTGTGGAACCTTTAAGAGTGGGGGCCTAACGGGAAATAACCAAGCCATTGAAGACATCACTGTTGGAAGGAATGTATGCTGGTCTTGTGGACTGAGTTAGTTCTTGTAAGAATGAGTTGTACTAAAAGAGCCAGACTGTTCCCCACCCTTGGTCTCTGGCCTCATCTCACCATGTGATTTTTTCACCTTTCACCCAGGCTCTTTCCATGATGCCACCTGTTATTAGACTCTCACCAAAGGCTGAATGGATAGGGCTGCCCACTCTAACTTTTAGTTTCCAAAACTATAAACTAATTCATCCTC